TTTTCCACATTGGTGCAGTAAAAATGCTTGATATTAAGTATATTTTTTATTCATCATGGTTGCATGAAACACTTTAATGTAACAGATTTTATTTTAAATGTAGGTTCAAACTATAGCTTACTGTTCTTAATACCTTTATTTTGAAAACTGGAAGTGAATACGTTGTTTCTCCGCAATTACCATAATGCTGAGAATATAACACTTGCTCACGGGAAACGTTTAATTTTTTTTTTTTTTCCCATGTCCCTTTAGGGGCTCCGTAATTTTTCGCATTGTATTTGAAAATTAAAAAAATAAAGACAATGAATAAAAAGATGATGATGATCAGTGACTGAGACTGATCAGGAGCTGACTTCAGATCCATCATGTTATTGATCAGAGTCCATGTAACATCAGCTGCTGTCACTGCGCTCACAGCTCAGAACTTATACTCAGTGGTGACATCAGCAGTGACGTCATCGTACTCTTCATCCAACCCGTCACTTCCTCCGACACGCTGGGTCATCTCCATGGAGACGACCTCTTTGTTTCCCGTCTTCCTGCTGCAGCAGATGGACGCCATCAGAGCAGTACAGACGCAGTATGGACAGACAACCACTAGATGGCAGAAGAGTCTGAGCACAGGCAGAGAGGAGTCTGAGGGAGGAGAACAAGAATCAGTTTATTGTGGAGGAATCTGTGTTGGTATTCTGGTGCAGAGCAAGAAACACTGCAACAGTCAACAATAACTTACTTACTCCTAACTGCTGAAACACGTCGTGATCAATAATCAAGGAACAGTCAGTAAGGGGACTGCCATGCAACTTTACCTCCTTGTTCTGACCTCCAACCTGTATGTACAGTACATTAGGTGTTTGACACCACTGATACCTGTGCAGATGGTTGGGTCTGCTTTAAAGCTTCAGCAGCATTGTTCTCCACAGGAGGAGGAACATACTGTAACTTCCCATCAGCAGCCTGAACAAAGAGTCCATGGTCCTGTGGACCACACAGGTTCTGTTGTACTGTGACTTCACAATCCCAAAGTGTCGGCTGCAGTCATAGAAGTTTTAACAGGTAGAAAGTGAAGAAGCTGTGGAAGTCACTGAATGCAGGCAGAGACATTAGGGCTCTGATGGAGACAGTAGTGATAGGTCTGGCAGGACTATGCTCTTTCCCTACTATCCAGTGTGAAAAGTCAGACAGGACAGAAACAGACAGTAAGGTCTAGGATGAGATGTGGGGAACGATCAACCAGCCACCAATACGGTATGTTTGTGTCAGCAGGGAGCATGAACTGGTGGAAGAGTGAACTGGTGAGGAAGATCTTGCAGTTTGACATCTGGAAGGCACCTTAGAATCCAGTCAATTCAAGTTCCAGGCCTGAGGCAAGAGTGAGACAATGCCCTAAGGCCTTTGGAGTGAGGCACTATTGACCAGGAGCCAAAGGCTGTGGCAGAGCAGATTGTATCAACTATGAACAGTAACAAACACATCCTGGCACTTTTAGATCGACTTCACTGAGGCCTGATGTGGTTCCACTATCAGGAGCATCAACAGAGAGTTCACGTTTGAGGTGACTATGCCCTGGTAAGATCAAACCAATGAGTCAAACTAAAGGAAGCAGGACAAATATCAGGAACTGGTAGAGCAGAGTCAGAGTCAGTGATGGATAACTTCTCAGAGTTCTCAGAGGAAGCCTTTGTTAGTCATCCACCTCACAACATTCACACAGTGACAAAGAAGACCATCAGGACCACATCAGAGACAAAAAGAAGAACCATCAGGACCAAATCAGAGACAAAGAGAAGAATGCATTGAAGCCTCCAGATGAGTATGAATCAGAAGTAGTGATCTGTGGTCTCAAACCTGCCTGGGTTGTCTGAGTGAATGTATGGAGTCAGTGGGGGCTTTAGTTCTTTCTACATCATCTTGTGGATACGGTAAGTTTAACTGAATCTCAGAACCTTTAACGTTAAAACTTTTCAATACAAAGTGTTGTTATTTGATTGACTCTGTATTAGATTAAGAACTCATTATAACTCTGTTTGCAGATTACATAGTTATTTCTGTGATACTGTAGCTTACCAAAAGAGAAATGTTAAATAGAGAGTTTAAATATAGACCCAGACTTTCCCACTGATTGGTCAGAGATCTCTACATGTCTGATAGAACCACAATCGTCCAGACTGATTCACTATTTTATGTTTAATTCACACAGATATATCAACAAACAAATGTAAAACTAAATGTCACTCAGTGTAATAATAATAATAATAATAATAATAATAATCATAATCATAATAATAATAACTAATATGACCTTCAATAAGATGTTGAGTTGTCATTGTTTTACCTCAGTTTATATTTTTTTGACCTGAAAAACCCTGTCTCTTTCTTTCTCTTCTAGTGTTCACTGAATTATTCTGCCGCTGTTCAACTTGTTCTTTGTAAATTAAGTTTAAACAATTAACTTCCATCAGCTCACCTGCAGAAACAGTCAGTCCATACAGCAACACAGCCACACCTGCAACAGAAGGACAGAGGTCAGTAAAGGTCAGAGGTCAGTAAAGGTCAGAGGTCAGTAGACAGACAAACAGACGTCCATCAGCTCACCTGCAGCAGTCAGCACAGTCAGACCTACAAAAGGAGCACAAGGTTTACTTAAGGTTAAAGGTCAGCAGGTTAACTTCAAATATATAAACAGTCAGTGAAAATATCTTTATAAGCTTTCAACAGAATCTCATGGTCTTCATCAGTATCATATTATCATTAACACTATTATTCATCATTCCCCATCGTTGTGGCTATTCATTTCTACTAGTACACCTTTCTCTCTCTCTCTGTCTTATTCTCTCTCTTATTCTAAGGAAAGAGGTCAGTAGACAGACAAGCAGACATCCATCAGCTCACCTGCAGAAGTCACCACAGTCAGACCTACAAAAGGAGAACAAGGTGAAACAGTGAAAAAATCTAACATAAATGTGCTATGATCCAAACAGAGTTAGCTACTATGGGGTTGAGTTTTGACGCACTTTCCAGTCTTTTCACGGGCCTTTCTGGGAGACAATTGCCACCTAATGTAAGTATATGTATAAAAATAGTATTGTTGAAACTCAATTTTGCTCTTATGTTTCTGTCTGAGAACAGAGAAGGAAAGACTAGAGACAGAGAAAAGAGGAGAGAGAGACAGAGAGACGAGAGAGAAGAGAGAAGAGACTATATAGAGATTATATCAGACCTGGCCCACCTCCTGGCCGAGGTCAACGATGCCACACTACACCGGCAAGGTCAGGAGGAACACCACCAAGGCCAGGATACTGACGGCTCAGGAGATGTCTGACGCCATCGAGGAGGCGGGCAGCCCAAGCTCTGGCCAGAAGAGACAGACATACTGCCAAACTACAGGCTCTTCTCTTCTCCTTCCAGTGGTGTGACCTATTCATAGAAAAAATATATTTAATCCGCTCAGCCTCCCAGGGTCCTTGGCTGCCTGCCCCCAGCGGCAAAAGATCCCCACCGAGAATGCCTGCTGCTTTCCTCTGAAATAATAATAATAAATAATTTTGTTGTAATACTAAAATATGATTTTTCTTTGTGTGCCATCCCATGATAATCAAAACATGTTCTTAAATATATTTTTTCTATGAGTA